ACTGTATTAGCAGCTGCACCTGCTACTGTATTAGCAGCTGCACCTGCTACTGTATTAGCAGCTGCACCCGCTACTGTATTAGCAGCTGCACCTGCTACTGTATTAGCAGCTGCACCTGCTACTGTATTAGCAGCTGCACCTGCTACTGTATTAGCAGCTGCACCCGCTACTGTATTAGCAGCTGCACCTGCTACTGTATTAGCAGCTGCACCTGCTACTGTATTAGCAGCTGTACCTGCTACTGTATTAGCAGCTGTACCTGCTACTGTATTAGCAGCTGTACCTGCTACTGTATTAGCAGCTGCACCTGCTATTGTATTAGCAGCAAAACAACAAACTGCATGCATGCAGTTTCTCAGTGACTTTAAAACATCACCTCCACCATAAAACTTTTTCTGATGCTCCAAATACAGAAAAACATCCCTTACCAGGGTTTTTAGAATAAATAGTTTAAATGTTAAATAATAGTTAACATCACTTAAATGCAACAGCAAATTCTCTCATTGCTACTGAGCATTTTCTCCACCTATGTGGTTAGGATATAAGGCTGTTGCTGTAATTGGGAAGTGAACTGTGCTGGGCCAAACTAGGAGAATATTAAGATTTTCTGAGGGAAAGAGAAAAACAATTGTCTACCTTTCAGAAGAGGAACTGGCAAAAAAAACTACATGGAAAATATGTGAAAACGTTTGGTTTTAACCCCAAATTGAACAAGTTTACCTAGATCTTAAAAAGCAGCTCGGATGATGAAACTGCAACTATGATTCTGATAACAAGCTAACAAATTGAACTAGCTCCTCTAAGATAACCGGCTAGCAGTGCTTCTGACTGACAGTTTATGTGCAGCAGCAAATCAACTATCCTGATTAACAAGGTTATAAAAGCTCATAAATGAAAAATCACTTTGATGTGTGGAGGAACTTTTCCAGGCCCTCTTTAGCAGGGTGGGACTGGGAGGAGAGTGCTGTAGCCTTTTAGCTGGAAGCTAACCGGAGCCTGGGGCTAACATCACCACCCGGTGGAACACTAGCGACATGAAGGTGGGTTGGTTCAACGGCACGTGTCGGAGTCAGCCCGGTAAAAATGATCAACGACACCGAGCGGACTCACGTTCACGTTTGAAAGCAGCGCTGAATCCAGAAACCTCAGCACAAAGTGCGTTCGTTGCTCTGAGCCAGCATGACGAACAAGGGAACGGTGCCGCTAACTTTCCATCCTAAGGGTCTACGTAGGGGGCGGGCGTATTACGTGAAAGGAACCATCTGATTGGCTGCATATCAGAAGGGCTACATTTGATTGGTCAAATAATACTTCCGCGTAAAAAACAGAGCTGGTTTACAAAAAGTAGATGTATGACACGGATGGAAATGTTGAACCAAACATTTATCTCCGTTTTTGACGTGCTTAGCAATGGGCCTATCGCATGTCCTGTTATCCCGGTGACGATAATTTTTCGATATATTGTGCAGCCCTATGCAAAACTCACATTTTGCTTCCTTTTGTGCTGCCATGTGGGCTTCTACTGCTTCTACGGACACTAAAAACATGAAAAAAGTCCACTCATTCGTTTAGTCAGAGATCGGTCTTACGGATTATTTGCCTAAAATAGAAGCAGTTTCAAATGTGCAAGTTAGAGCTGCTGGAGGAGCAGCGGCCCTACTCCGCGCTCCTCCTGGCTTTCAGAGCTTCTTAGCTTATAGCAGCTTGAGCAGGGGGTGGGTGGGCGTGGCCAGCTCCAGCTGCTTGTTTTCTTAAAGTGCCCTAAAACAGCTCATTCTGGAAGGTACTGAAACCGCTGAGATCACTTAACGTGAGAGGGCCAAGTTATCTACACACCTTAGAAAAAAAGTCATAAAATGTCTCTTTTAACATGTAAATTCACCTTTTATTCATTGGAAAATTTTAAATCCCCGAATTGACACTCAGGAAAAAAAGGATTTTTATGTTTTTTTTTTTAATTTTTTTAGGAAAATTATTTAGCTAAACCAAAAGATAAGGATCAAGGACTCAAAATTATGGTCAGCCATGTTGTTCCCATTGTAAGAGTGCGTTTTCCTGCAGGCGACGGTGGCACAGGAGTTAAGTGCTCGCCCCGTATTCAGAAGGTTGCAGGTTCGAGCCCCGCTCAGTCTGTTGCTGTTGTTGTGTCCTTGGGCAAGACACTTAACCCACGTTGCCTGCTGGTGGTGGTCGGAGGGACCGGTGGCGCCAGTGCTCGGCAGCCTCGCCTCTGTCAGTGCGCCCCAGGGCAGCTGTGGCTACACTGCAGCTCATCCCCACCAGTGTGTGAATGTGTGTGTGAATGGATGAATGACTGATTGTGTTGTAAAGCGCCTTGGGGGGTTCCATGACTCTAGAAGGCGCCATATCAAATACAGGCCATTTACCATTAAGTAGGGATGTAAGAAAATATCTATACACTGAAACATCGCGATAACATGTGTTATGATACTGAATCGATATTTAAAAGCAGTGTATCTATTTTTATACATTCAATCTGTATTCCTTTAGCGTGGTGCAATTCAAGCTCCAGCAGCTAGGTGGCAGCATGCAGTTTCCCACCTTCATTCTGAGGAAACTACAAAATCTGGTGTCTGACCTGAGTTTTCCAATCAAAGTCAGTCCTAATCCATAAATATCATCTGGTTTGTAGTATATGTCGTATTGCTATCATCTTGTCAGTACACACCCATAATTTTAAGGTGGTTTTATTCATGCCATACCACCTTAATTCTCAAAGTTGAGCTGTTGATATTCAGCCTCACTGCAGAAAGCATCAAACCAGACCTAGACTGGTTCTCAGTGAGTCAGTCTCACACTCACACTCATCTTGTTGTCTTCAGATTGGTCTCAGATTATCCCTGGTCCTTCTTTTTAGTTACTGAAGTTGACATGAACATTTCAGACTGTAGATCCGAGGAGGGTGAATAAGTGTTTGCATCTTGTGAAGTCATTTGAATGTCGTAACTGTGTTTTGTTTTCCTGCAGTACCTGCCTTCTCTCGGTTATGCAAAGCGTGCTCATCTGATGAACCCAATGGTGCCAGGACTGACGGGAGCCAAAATGAGCTCTTCAGAAGAAGTATGTCTGAAAGAACAAAGTGAGAGATCTGACAATTCCAGACCTGAGGGTGTTTATTACATCGATGCAGGAGTCAAAGATCGATCTGCTGGACTCCAAAGAGGACGTGAAGAAGAAGCTGAAGAAGGCCTTCTGTGAGCCGGGCAACATCCAGAACAACGGAGTTCTTTCTTTTGTCAAACACGTCCTCTTCCCCCTGCGAGGAGGTACTTGTGTTTAGGATCTGACTCCTGTCACTTCCTTTCATTGGTTCTCCACATCTTGAAAGAACATGCATTGATTTGTTTCAGAGTTCCGCATCAAAAGGGATCCCAAATGGGGAGGAGATAAAGTTTACTCTGGCTTTGAAGAAGTGGAACAGGACTTTGCGGTAGAGGTGAGCTGCAGCCCACGCTAGAAACTGAAAACACATTTAATCACCAAAAAAGTCACAACTCTTCCTTCGTGTTAGTCCATCCATCCTGGAGATCTGAAGGCTTCTGTGGAAGTTGCTTTGAATGAGCTGCTGGATCCGATCAGGAAGAAGTTTGAGTCTCCTGAGCTCCGCAAACTGACCAACTCAGCCTATCCCAACTCGTCTAAGACAAGTCTGTGTTCAGCCATTTGACACGAGACAGGAAGTGGCTTTGTGGTCAAACCTGTTGTTGTTTTGCAGCAGCTGGTGGGAAAGGTGCTAAAGCAGGAGGAGATGACGGTGATCTGGTGCCGTCCAGGCTGGACATCAGGGTGGGGAAGATCGTCAGTGTGGAGAAGGTGAGTTCCAGACACGATGATGTCATAATGCTCCTGTTTCCATGTTCATCCTCCATTTTTGTCCTTCAGCATCCAGACGCAGACTCGCTGTACCTGGAGAAGATCGACGTAGGAGAACCTGAGCCCAGGGTGGTCGTCAGCGGGCTGGTGGCCTACGTCTCCCAGGAGGAGCTGCAGGACAGAGCGGTGTTGCTCCTGTGTAACCTCAAACCACAAAAGATGCGAGGGATAGAGTCCCAGGCCATGCTGCTGTGCGCTTCATCGTGAGTGGCTCCTTGAGTCGACTCGACTAAAACAAACGTAGCCACATTCGTTGGTTCGATGATTTGTTTTGGACCTCCAGAGACGGGGAGCCCAGAAGGGTGGAGCCTCTCGATCCACCTGAGGGTTCATCGCCGGGGGAGCGGGTGTTTGTGGAAGGATACGAGTCGGAGAAGCCAGACGACAGACTGAACCCCAAGAAGAAGGTGTGGGAGAAACTGCAGGTGAGCTCCAGCTGATGTTTCTCGTTTGAAATCACAGATAAAAAAAAAGACACAAATCCATGTTTACGTATGTGTTTGAATCACAGGTGGACCTGAAGGTCTCAGACGAGTTTGTGGCTCAGTGGAAAGACAAAAAGCTGATGACCAAACTGGGACAGATCACATGTAAGACGCTGAGAGGAGGCTCCATCAGCTAAAGGCTCCTGATCTCCACTCATCCACCAGAAACTCCTCCTGGAGCGTTCATAGGGATTAATAACGCCAAACGGTTACTTTGAGTGTGTACTTTCCAAATCTAAGAGTCATTTACAACATTAACTGTAACTAATCAATGTGTTTGGTGTTGCTTATGCATTTAAATGTCTGCAAACTACAAATACCTAAACGATGGAGCCCGATCGATCAGCTGGAAGATTGCTCCAAAACACCTCAGGGTTATGAAAAGGCACTTCACGTTTTTCAGATAGTTACGATAGGAGAAGCTGCAGCTGGTGAATGCATTCAAAGGCTCTGGGTAATAAAGCAATTGTAAAAAATCTCTTTAAATGGAGAAAGCAGACGGTCGTATTTTAGGTGAATCAAAGACATCAGCATCTCAACGTTGTCTTGAAATAAAATGCATCTTAAATAAACTTGGACTAAATCTGCAGGAAGCGTGTCTTGCTTTAAAAAAAGGAGACGTTTTGATTAAAAGAGTTTATTTAGAAGTAATAACTGTACATAACTCTTTACGATCCCCAAAAACGTAGATCTCTGACCCTCTAAAGGTGGATTTCATGTGCTGATCATTCCTTCGGGGGGAAAGTGTTTTGTGCAAAACGATTGGTTTCTCCGCCGTGAAAGCTCGGGTTATTTTAGAAACACAATATTTAATAAATACACGCCAAGCCCGCTCCAGTGTATTCATGGTCCAGGGCCAGTCGCCACATTCTTAGCCCTAAAAGTAGTTTAGTATGAAACCAAAGTTATAAATATGTAATAATCTGTAGGAAAAGGTGACCAACAGTGCTACTAGTGGAGACAACCACACATAAATAAATAGAATACTGGGATTACGCTGTGAAGGAACTATTCACGTGACATTTTAGCAGGTTTAAGATACTCCAGCAAGAATTTATCAAAGGTGGCTTTACAAAATAAAAATTTCCCTGACAAATTTCTGTTGTATCCCTTTTTCTGAATTTTTTTACACACAGTGGAAAAGCGGTCTAAACTCTTCTAATCCCCTGTGAGAATTAAAATGCATGATTACAACGTGTGTTGCTAGGGTGGAGTCAAAATGAAGTCATCCTCTTCATTATCCCTGAAGATACCAAAACCAACCTGCAGGAGGCGCTCTCACACAAGCAAAGTAAATGCTCGGTTTATCGCTGAGGGGATTTCACAGGAGATGAAACTGTACTTTAGAAAAATACTCCAGAGTAAAGCTTTCATAACAAAATGAGAGGGACACGTTTTTGCATAAACATGGAGGGCCGTTGGAGGCTAAGGCTTTTGGAGAAGGATGAGTTTGACGCCCATGTGTGCGAGTTGTCTTGGATTTGCTCCTCCTGGTTCTCTGAGCACAGATGTCCATCAGAACAACGTCTCTATCGTTTCTGCTGTCACTCGTGTTGCTGAAAGTAGAAGATGGGAGGAGTTTAGACACTTAAAGAGCAAGTCAACCCCTACCAGTCTAACTCCACTTCATGTTTGAAAAATGTAACAAATGCTGTTGCCTGGCAGACCGAGAGGGCGGAGCTTAAAAAAATACACACACAGGCTCACAACAGCATTGTGACATCATAACTTACCAGTTTACATCATAGCATACCTCTTAGGCAATAACGGTGGCAGATTTAAATTAGAATACAGTGCAGAGTTTTTACCTGACAACGGCACAACACTGCCAGTTTTAGGAAGAATATTTAAATTTTAACTAAGATGCACTGAAGTGCCAAATTATTGACGACACGTGTCTGCAGCACGATTAGACACTCGTTTATTTAGTTTATCAGCAAACAAAAGTGTATTTGGGGGTGACTTGCTCTTTAAGCAAACATAAAACATATGTAGTACACAGCAGTTAGCCGCTGTTATGGGTGCATTTCTTCCAGTCGCGAAGCAATGCGTCATAGAAGCGTGATGCGCTAAAATTAATTTCCAGTTGCTTAACTAGCAAAAAACTTGAATCATGACCAGTGAAACCTCCGTAGCTGAGGTGAATAGAAAATAAACCAGAGGTTTTGGGATACACACTGCCGTCTTTCACCTTGCTTATCACGTGAACTGCCGGTATCATGCGTGGCCTTTCAATTTTCCAGTCATTGTGTGACCTCACGGGACCAGCTGCATTGGTAGTCAGTGTCCCCAACCCTGACATACCCATCAGGGTATATTCTTATTTTCTGACTTTTTCCACAAGGCGTTCTTCAATTTATTACATCTCGCCGCTAAATATCTTCTCATTTTTGAGGGGGCAATGGCGGCGCTGTTGACAAAATTAAAGAAAACTGCGTCCTGACCAATCATAAACTTGTGGTCTCCAGAGATCCAGGCCCAGGTCTCATTCACTTTTGACGGATAGTTAAAAAGTTGGGCAGGCCTCCGTCACCGTCTTTGAGCCCATTGGAGAGCCCTTGCGCCAATGAATAATGGTGTTGCGTATCTCCGTACCCACGCAGACAGAGAAGTATAAATCAGACTTTAGGGACTGCATAGCTGAGCAGAAGCAGCTGTAACTTCAGAGTTGGCTTTTGACATTGCTGCAAACAGCTGACCCCTGGGCTCATTCGTGAATGACACAGTTGACTGCTAGGATAGGAAAGGTGGTAGTCTAACTCATTAAACCGAATGGTTTCATATTGTGTAAATATGCACTCATAACCTCATATATCAGGCTTCAAAATCAAAGATTTTATCTAGCGAGCCATGAAAAAAAGCTGATTAAAAACATCTAAAATCAAGAACCACAGCAAGGTAAAATGTTAGTCAATGCAGATAAAGTCACAAGCCATCAGTATTGTTTCAGAAGTGCCTTGTGTGTTTTATGTGGCCATGAGGCATGCTAACCTCCACCCCCCTTATATAGCTACCTGCTTTATTTCTTAAAGCCATTGTGAAACTAGCATGCTTTGCAAGATGAGGTGTGTGCAAATGTAATAAAGTAAGCAAGAAAACATACTTGTTTCAGGCGGTGCAACTCCACTCATGCGTTGAACTCCTCCAATAGCGCCATTTCCTTCAGCACCAAGCTCCGGATTTACTGAAAGGCTGTGAGAATTTTGTGAGGGATTCAAGCTGCTTGGTTTCTTAGCTACTGGTGGAGGGACTTTGTCACACTTCACCCCACCGGTTGAGACAGTCCCAGGCTTTGATTGGTCAGAAGCCTGCCTTAGTTCGGCTGCCAAGCTTTGTTTCAGACTTGCCTGAGCTTCTAAGGAAGAGGCAGCCACGGTCTCCATGACTACCTTTTTTGTGCTCCTGGAGAAGATAAAGCTAGCAGTAGAGGCTGGCGATTTGTTCATGTCATAGCCTTCAGGTAACTTCAGAGGCCGAGGTCCTGGTTCACCAGCGTAACTATAAATGGGTAATCTCATACCCTTTCTGGGGGGAAGACCATCTCTTGATGACATGGCTGCAGTTTTCATTCGTATGGCCTCCTGTAGGCGGGTTGAAGGAGGAGTCATTGTCACAGTAGACATTTTTAGAGTTGGAGGGGAAGATTTCAGTGACAAAGACTTGCGGATGGGCTTTTGAGGAATATTTTGGAGTTCATTAGTTGAGTCAGTATAGTTCTCTTGAGCTGGAGCTCCCACATTTGTGGACTTGTCTTCAGATGTCACATTCACCTGATCTTCAGTCATGCTGACTGATCTGAGGCGAACCATCTGAAGCAATGAGGGGGTGACCAGTGGTATGTTGGCATCCTCTTTAGGAACAGGTGGACTTTTGTGTCGGGAAAGAAGCTCCTTGCTCCGGGTGTCTTTATGAGCTCCACTGGGTTGCCTTCTGAAGTTACCCCCATGGGTTGAATTCTCTGTTGGTGGATCGGGTGCTGTCGACACGGAGTTTGGAGCTGAATTTTGGTCACTTACTTGAGCAAAGGGAGATTGATCTTTGGTTTTTAGAGAGTTTTGCATCGGGAAACTGCTGTGGAGAACCACGGCTGTGACTGACACTTGACTCTCAGCTCTGGTAGCACGTGATACAGAAGACATGTCCTCTTCTGGAAGTGAAACACTGTAAGCAGTGCATGAAATATTCTGCACCAATTGAGAAGAATCTTCAAGAGCAATGTCAAGTTTTGAAACTTGCATTTCAACCTGCAGGTTGTTGTCAATCACAGTTGACTGGGACTCAGCTGGGTTTGGGTCTGTCACATTCATTAAACTGTCCGTTAATGAGGGCGGAGGAGGTGGAGGAAAATCTACCTCATCACCACCATCAAAGGCGGAATCCCCTTCCAGTGGAGGAGGAGGAGGAGGCCAGCAGGGGTCATCTACGTGGGCCGACTCCTGATCCTCGTGGGATTCCTTTGGTGGTTGTAACTTTGAAGAAGAAGGCGTCTTCCTCATTATGGGGGGTGTAGGGTGATAGGTTGGTGGAGGCGTAGGTGGTGGTGAGATCTTACTAATTTTGGGGGTCTCTATAGAAAGTGTGTGCATGGATTGGACCTCAAACTTCTCTATCTCATTCTCACTCATGTCAACTACAATCATAACAGCGTCATGTGAAGAGGTTTCACTGTTCTCCTCAGACAGATGAACCTCTATTACAGAACTGCTACCTGTTTCCCTTTTTTGTGTATCTAACAGGCGCTCATTTTCCTCGCTAAATACTACCCTTGTGGGCTTTTTCATGATAGGAGGGGGATCTTTCTTTGGAGTGGTCTCTTGAATTGCTGTTTCTGTTACTGAGACAGAAGTCTCCTCACTCTGAGATTCTGCCTTTTCTTTTTCTTGAACTTGCTTTGTGTCCGGACATTCTCCAAGTGTCTGCTCCATGTCACTGCCATCAGGATCAATCTCCAGCCATGCTGCAGACTTTGTGTTATTTTCAGACACTTCCTGGACAGATTTGGCTGTCTGGGTTTCACCTTGAACTTGCATCTCTTTTTGGGGTTCAGTTTGGACTTCCGTGTGTTCATCCACTCTGTCCTGAATCTGGGAGGGTTTCTGGGGTAGTTTATTTGTTACATAGCATGGTCCACACAGAAGCTCAACAGTACGTTTGCTGTGAGCCCATGCCTCTGGAGGTGGTGGACATGGTGCCTTGACTTTAGGAGGTGGAGGGATATTAAAGAGTTCTTGGAATTCAACCCTAATATTTGAGGGATTGTTGTTAAGAATGAGTTCTTTTGTCAAAACAAGTGGTGAAGATCCCCGTGGAGGCACACCTGTGCTACATGTGGAAGAATCGGCATTAGCAAGCTCAGATGTACCAGATGATAAAGAGGTAAGTGAAGAAGAAGGGGATGCTGCTGAGGATGAAGCCCGAGATGCTGATCTTTCTGGTTTGACGAGTTTTTTCTGCTTGTGTGGGGAGGTCTGAGGGATAACTTTAGGGGAAAGCGTTGGAGTGCCACTCTGACTTGAGTAGCCGCTGGAGGGGGACATTGTCCGTTCAAATGTTTCCCCTTCCAGGGCATTTTTCTGTGAGGGGTAGGTACTGACCTCTATTGCTTCTCCATTTAGGTTAGAAGAGATCTCTTTGGGGGTCAACGGTGAGGAAGAAGAGCCTGCAGAGCTGGACCCAATCAAGTTTGACACCGGTGTTGGTACTGTGCTGATATCTGTAACAGTCAGCTTTGTGTCATCTCCCCCTAAAGCCTGTTCTGAGAAGCATTTCTCTTCTTCTGAAGCAGAGTTTCTGATATCCACAAAAGTCTTTGAGGTGCTTCTTATCTTATTACCATGCAGAGAGTTGGTTCTTCTTGGAGGTGCTGGGGGTTGCTTGGTCTTCATAACTGACAGACTGTGAGAGAAGTTATGTTTGTTCTTTGCTTGTTCCCTAACAGCCGTTGACTCTGTTGCACCACTTTCAGATCTTGATTCTGTAGAGTTTTCGCCTGTATTGCTGGGGCTGGTAATCACACTCACTGAACTTTGGGGACTAGCAAGATCTTGGTACTTAGACTGCTCTGTCCGGCTTTCTTGCACAACTTTATTTGAGGATACAGACAAGGAGTCTGACATAATTGTCTTTGAGGACTGGGAATCACTCCAGTTTGACCCTGAGGCAGATTTGGATAATTGGGTGGTTTCAGAGTTGGTGCTGTTAGTCTGGGAACTGTCACCATCTGATCTTCTGGACAGCAAAGGACTGACTGCCGAGTCCCCAGACGTAAGGCTGCTTTTGCTAACAGTACGAGCACTGCTACCATGACTGACACTACCACCTTGCGTCCGACTGATGCTGCGGTCAATCTCAATTACTTCAACCGAGGCTGGCAAAACAGCATTTGGGATTATCGTAGACAAGTAAGTAGCCTGAGGAGAGATGGACATCACCGGGCCCTAGAGTGAAACAAAAGCAGGTGTTTTATGTCTAAAAGTTACAAATGCTCAAAATACAACAAACCACAAGAGTTTCACATTTTAGAAAACTAGTTTTGCAGCAGTGTCCTTCATGGCATCCTTACCTGATGCTCCTGGAGGAAATTAAAAGTTGAGGGAGACAAAGAAAAGCAAGTGGTCATGCCAGGCACTGCAAGCGACTTGGGTCTCAGGGTGGATGTGGGACAGAGATGCTCACTCGTGATCACATCGTCTCTGAATGTCTGCTTATGAGAAAATTAAAAGTAGTTACACCTTTTGAAAACAGACAGATAATAAAGCTGATTTGCTTCAGAACCTTTACCTCCAGTTCTGAAAGATGCACTCTTGCTCCCTCTTTGTTGGCTGCTGGAGTTCCTCCATCAACTGTTGGGATGACAACAGCACTTGATTGGCTCTCACTGTCAGGCTTGTTATGATCGGGGAGTTGATTTGACACAAGTGGCTGAAAGGTGGAGCTTCTGTGTAGAGCTTTGAAGAAGGTGGCTGGCTGTTAATTACACACCGCATTGAGTTTTCTCATCATCAAGTGACAAGATTGTGAACATACCAAGTTCTTTCTGGACCTGGTTGGGAATACCCATGATGGTGGTCCTTCTGTTCCTCTTCCTGTTTCTTTCTGTCGTTTTCACTGGATTCAGAGGTTTGAAAGTAGAGCCTAACAGAGATTTGAAATTAAAAGCACAACATTTGTGTTGAAAGGCTGACTTTGAGTCGAAAGCTTCTGTGACTAAATGAGTATTAATTTGTATCAAGAAATGCACGTACGTTGGTGTTACATTCTCAGTGTCTGACCTGAGAGATCTTTATTAAAGGGACTTTACAGAGTTTTGAATTTTTATGCTCGCGATTGCCCCCTCAGGCCAAAAGCGTAACGGCAGCTTCAATAGTAAACTCATGCACGAGGCGCGCATGCTGTACGTGCACACTCCTTAACGAGAATAACAGCTGAGACAGTCCCTTGTGTGTGTGTGTGTGTGTGTGTGTGTGTGTGTGTGTGTGTGTGTGTGTGTGTGTGTGTGGCCCGGAGGACAGAGGACAGGAGAATGTGCAGCTAATTAATTAAATAATTTGGTTCTGTACCTTTCTCTTCAGCACAGCCGATAAAGGTTTATGATGGGTCAGTCCTCCTGCATGCTCAGATCATTCCCTTCCCTTGCTTGAAAAATTGTTCCAAAATGAAAGTTGAACCCACATCTTTTTTATCTGTGAATCCAATGCCGTTCAGCAAATCTCAAATGATAATTTAGGCATCTTACTGTAAAAAAAAAAACCCATTAATGTAAAAAATAAACTCTAAACAAACTATGTTCACATTGAAAACCAAACCCAGGTCTCCCTGCATGAGAGTCCATTGTCTTTTTAGATGAGCTAAAGTACCAGTGACATCTAGTGTATCTGTAATGTTTATATCCTTGATGACAGCTGAAACAACGTTCAAAGAACGGTTTGGAGTGAAAATGGCTATTTTGTTGCTAATTTGCAGGAAATATCTAGAAGAAAGTAGCTAAGGGTCCTCAGAAATGTAGCTAGGTTCATCACTAGATGTTAGGAACAGCGACAAAGTCGCTGAGTTGGCACTACCTCTCTCTCTGCTGCTAAAGCTACTGATAGCAAATGCTACTGGCGATGCCTGAGAGTGAATGCGCATGAAGCAGCCTGCTCGACCCGAGCATCTCTCTTTTTCTGTGATTTTACAGAAAAACAGGCAATCACAGTAAAAATGCCAGGGCTCATTCTACAGGACCAGGGCATTGCAGGAGAATGTATGAAGAAGACATTTATTATTTCTATACATGTTTTGGCTGTCAAACTTCCATAATGCCCCTTTAATACATATCATAACCAACCTGGGTGGATGGTACTAATTGCACTAAAATTACAAATCCCAGAATGTACTGGAACAGGCAGCAGATCTGATTTTGTTCAATGCTGAGGACTTCCACAACATAGCCTGATCCCGGAAAACAAGGGGTGTTTCTCAATGCCAAGGAACCTCGCCTTGATGTCTTGGTCCCGCCCGGTTGCCTAGGAGATACGTCATCAGACGTGTTCCAATGTTCATGTTCTACCGAGGCATCTGTTCTCCGTTTGTTAGCCGTTTTGCTAGCTGAACAAGGATACACATGAGGTGTCTTTGTAGCCTGGCCTTGGTCAAAAATTTCCCAGAATACACCGCTGCATCGCACCGCAGTTTGGCCATAACGAACACCATGTTCGAACATAAGGATGCCCATCGGTACACTTGGTACCAGGGCAGCCTAGGTCACAGGTCGATGATAGACTTTGTAGTCATATCATCTGACCTGCGGCTGTATGTTTTGGACACCCGAGTGAAGAGAGGAGTGGAGCTGTCAACTGATCACCACCTGGTGGTGAGTTGGATCAGATGGCAGGGGAAGATGTCGCGTAGATCTGGCAGACCCAAATGCATAGTGAGGGTCTGCTAGGAACACCTGGCAGAAGAACCTGTGAAGACGGTTTTCAACTCCCACCTCCGGCAGAGCTTTGACCGCGTCCCGAGAGCAGTGAGGGACATTGACTCCGAGTGGGACTTGTTCCACTCTGCGATTGTTGAGGCGGCCGTTGCTAGCTGTGGTCGCAAGGTGGCCGATGCAAGTCGTGGTGGCAACCCCCGTACCCGCTGGTGGACACCAGAAGTACGGGGAGCCGTCAGGCTGAAGAAGGAGGCCTACAGGGTGTGGCTGGTCTGTGGGTCTCTGGAGGCAGCAGACAGGTACCGGATAGCCAAGCGGGGTACAGCAGTGGCAGTTGCCGAGGCAAAATCTCGGGCGTGGGAGGAGTTTGGTGAGGTCATGGAGAAAGACTGTCGATCGGCTCCAAAGAGGTTCTGGCAAACTGTCCGGCGCCTCAGGAGAGGAAGGCAGCAACTCGCTCACACTGTTTACAGTGGGGATGGGGAGCTGCTGACATCAACTGGGGCTATCGGACAGTGGAAGGAATACTTTGAGGAGCTCCTCAATCCCACCTATGCGCATTCCGAGGAGGAACCAGAGCCGGGAGACCTAGGGATGGACTGTCCAATCTCGGGGGCAGAAGTTGCTGAGGTAGTCAAACAACTACACAGCGGCGGAGCCCCGGGGGCAGATGAGGTTCGTCCTGGGTATCTCAAGGCTATGGATGTTGTAGGGCTGTCATGGTTGACATGTCTCTGCAACATTGCGTGGTCATTGGGGCAGTTCCTGTGGAGTGGCAGACCGGAGTGGTGGTCCCCATCTTTAAGAAGGGTGACCCGAGGGTGTGTTTAAACTATGGGGGATCACACTCCTCAGCCTCCCTGGAAAGGTCTACTCCAAGGTACTGGAGAGGAGGGTCCGATCGATAGTTGAATCTCAGATTGAGGAGGAGCAATGTGGTTTTCGTCCTGGCCGTGGAACTGTGGACCAGCTCTATACCATTGCAAGGGTGATGGAGGGGGCATGGGAGTTTGCCCAACCAATCCACATGTGTTTTGTGGATTTGGAGAAGGCTTATGACCATGTCCCCAGGGGCACCCTGTGGGGGACGCTCCAGGAGTATGGGGTGGGTGGCTTTCTTTTAAGGGCCATTCAGTCCCTTTACCAGAGGAGTGTGAGTTTGGTCCGCATAGCCGGTAGTAAGTCTGACCTGTTCCCGGTGAGGGTTGAACTCCGCCAGGGCTGCCCTTTGTCACCGGTTCTGTTCATTACCTTTATGGACAGAATTTCTAGGCGCAGCCGTGGTGTGGAGTGTGTCGAGTTTGATGGCAGGAGAATCTCGTCTCTGCTTTTTGCGGATGATGTGGTCCTCCTAGCTTCATCCAGCTCTGACCTTCAGCTGTTGCTGGGTAGGTTAGCGGCCGAGTGTGAAGCGGCTGGGATGAGGATCAGCACCTCCAAATCTGAGACCATGGTCCTCGACAGGAAAAGGGTGGCTTGCCAACTCTGGGTCGGGGAGAGGTCCTACCTCAAGTGGAGGAGTTTAAGTATCTCGGGGTCTTGTTCACGAGTGAGGGTAGGAGGGATCGGGAGATCGACAGGCGGATTGATTCGGCGTCTGCAGTGATGCGGACGCTGAGCCGATCTGTCGTGGTGAAGAGGGAGCTGAACCAGAAAGCCAGGCTCTCGATTTACCGGTCGATCTACGTCCCAATCCTCACCTATGGTCATGAGCTTTGGGTAATGACCGAAAGAACGAGATTGCGGATACAAGCGGCCAAAATGAGTTTCCTCCATAGGGTGGCCGGGCTCAGCCTTAGAGATAGGGTGAGGAGCTTGGACATTCGGGAGGGACTCGGAGTAGAACCGCTGCTCCTCCGGATCGAAAGGAGCCAGTTGAGGTGGTTTGGGCATCTGGTCAGGATGCCTCCTGGACGCCTCCCCGGGGAGGTGTTTTGGGCATGTTCTGCCGGCAGGAGGCCCCCGGGTCGACCCAGGACACGTTGGAGAGGTTACATCTCCAATCTGGTCTGGGAACGCCTTGGGGTCCTGCCGGAGGAGCTGGTGGAGGTGGCCGGGGAGAGGACGGTCTGGAGCTACCTAGTTGGGATGCTGCCCCCACGACCCAGACCCAGATAAGCGGAGGAAGACGACAACGGCACTGCTGCATTTTCAAAAGGATGGCGGATAGCCTGCAGCTACTTCGGGGACAAATTTCAAGTTTAAATGTAATGGGCTCGACACACGGGAGGCGACAAACGACCGCGATCAGCGAAATTTGTCGCTGTCGTTTTTATTACCTGACACACGGGAGGCGATCTGCAGCAGCGGCCAGCGGCAAAGCCGTCTACGGCGTAGACTCTACGCGTTCTGTTCCATGGTGAAATCGAAACTTCCGTTGTTTTGCTTGGCTGTGTCAGGTTGGAGGGAATTAAGGTTATTTAAGCGGTTCAGAGTTAATAAAGTGGTAGATATGATGTTTCACAAGGTGCTGTTAGAGTTATGTGGAATCGTACTTGTGGTTTTACTATAAAACATAATAATAATCAACTTCTCCTCCATGTTTGCTCGGAGGTGTACAGAGCATCCTGTCTGCTCAGTGGTCAGTGAATGAAAACTCCATTGATTGGTCCTCGTCCGAGCGACAGCGATGAAAAGTTGAAAATATTTCAACTTTCTGGGATCGCGTCGCTGGGTCGCCTGCGCACGACACGTGCACGAGCGCAAAATTTCACACACACGTTTTCGCATTTCGCTTGGTAGGAGGGAGACCCGCGATTATCGCTTTGTCACGCATGTCTCATTGAAAATGAATGGAGGAGAGGCGATGTCGCCTCCCGTGTGTCGAGCCCATTAGTCAACTAATTGCAGGAATCAGGCTGATGTCTGAATTGTTTTTATTTGTTTATATCCAAAGAAATTAGCTATGGTTGGTTAGTAGCTCAATTAGTTGCAGCTTCAGTGGCTAGCAGTAATAACTCGCTTACATATTTTATTTAACAAATATATACACAACTTAAAAAGTAAAGGCTCGTTATATATTTATATTGAAACATATATGTAGACAATATAATGTTACCTCTCGTATCACGTCACGTTAAGTGACTGCCATGGAAGATGACAGGTTTTGGAGATTTATTTCCTGATATTTGGACATCTCGCTTCTTATTGGCTAACAGCAGCATGACTCTACCACTGACTGAGTTTGTTCTGCACCGTTGATGTTTTACCTCCAGAAATAACACAAGCCTGAAGGAGTTCTGCCATGGTATGAAGTTGCTAATGCTAACGGTTAGCTTCTACTACCCGAGTAGTGCTCTACTCTCTTCTGGGCACTAAACCAACAACAGCCTTCCCGGCATGAGCCAAGATGGGTCCATGAATGCTAATTTTCATTGTGACTTGAGGTTGACCAGCTTTTCTAGTCTGAGTGTTTCCCCATCTATTTTCTATCGGCGGCTAATGCAGGGCTAGAAAACCATTTTCACATTTGACCTGCATGTTAATCTCAGTAATGTGACATTTCCAAAATAACATGTAAAACATGGTTTTCCAGTGAACTTGGCGTTTAATATAAAAATGTTTGCAAATTTGCAACAAACCACTGTAAAAGGAAATTATTTTTCATAGTTTTGCTCATAACATTTACAGCTTTTTAAAGGTTTAAATTATTCAAATCTTTTTGGGTCAAAGTGTTGGATCATCCAACCAAACAGCCTACCAGCTGATCCATATGCCCACTTTAAGGCTGACCTAGATAAAAAGTTGACACAGGGACTCAGTCAAATGATATTAGAGGACTGAATTTTCTTGAGCATTTTCAAAAAGGGTGTTTGGAATATGATCGGAATACCAATTACTCACTTCAGGAGCACACACACAATCTTTATTTCTCACACTCATACAGAGTGGCATGCTTTGCCTCCCGGCTGTGAAGTGCAGAGGCAGCTGCAGAGCTGTCTAAGATGTTTGGAATTTTCAACATTAAAAAATAAAATCCATAGCTGTGGGTATAAGTGTGAGTATGCTTATGCCAAGTTTCTTTCCCTTTGATTTTGCACCACAAGTGCAGAGGCACCAAGCAGCCGGGAATCAAGTGTGCATGCAAAATACTCAAGCGCCTTTAAGCGCTACTGATGATGCTGATGCGTACCTTGGCGGGTAGACGCAGGCTGAGTTAACTCAACAGAGTTTACTGTGGTATCAGTATTCCCGATGGTGGATCTTGACTCCGGAGAGCTTCCTCTGTCCTTGGAGCTGATTTCCTGCTCCGGATAGAGAGCATCTGTAGACTACAGAGAACACACATGCATGCACAAAAGAGTCAAATTAGATGGTATTCATGAATTCAGCAGGAAGTGGGAGAAAAATGGGCTGCAAAGATTTTAAGGCACTTACATCGATGCTTTCATGGTCAGCAAAGTTGACTCCATTCCTGTGTTCTGTGCAGAACACATCCAACATAAGTCACACAAGCTTGATGTTGATGATGTTATGAGAGTGTGTGTAGCGCATCTGATTGGTTCTTACCTTCCTGCTGAAGTATCTTGAGTCCCTCCTGAGCTTCGGTGTGGAGGTCTTCCAGGTACTGAGACCTGCTGCCTTCAATGAACACATTCTCCTGGTAGTATTGTGAGGCGGTGTAGTGAACCGTCAACCTCTTCTGTTCCTCATTCCCCTTTGGGCCAGCTGTTGTTATGGTTTGAAACAAAAAAAAAACACTTTAATAGGTCAGAAACATCCTCCTGTACATGCTAATCTGTGCACCTTTGATGCAGCAACACAACAAATCCCCTTAGCCAAGTTTGGTGGACAGATGTCCTTGTTGTCAAGGTTTTAGTAGAAAATCTACAACCGAGTATATCTTCTGAAGAATCTTAATGCTTCCAGGCTAGGCCCTGACGGGACAGGATAATCTGGCTCGTCCGCCTGTAAAGAAGCCATGGGACCAACTGCTGTGGGGACTTATCTTCCTGGATGGGCAAATATGGGATGAAACTAACCCAATGTGCAAATATAGATCATGCATATAAAGGAAGCAGGTGCATACAAGGATCTGGACCAAGGGAAGTGGACTGTTGACCCCAGGTCATAAGGATCTCTGCCATAGACTGATATTGGCTTTGCAGGAATTCAACTAAGTCTAGTTAGGCTTTTCGTGTTGACTCTTATTGCTTTCGTCTTATAAAAGCTTTCTCTGATGTAGGATTTGCCTTTGATGTGTCCACTAGCATAGAAATCTAGACAGACCGTATCAGCAGCACAAGATTTTACTCTGCAGGACGGTCTAGCCATGCCCCATGGAAGCCTCAGCAGGTCTACCTGATCAGTTTCATGTAGTGTTGGCTCAGGAACGGTGCTTGCTTGAAATTACGTTGGAATCAACTTTGGACGATTTAGACTCGGGCTTTTCTTTGAGACACAAATAGATGGAGGTACTTAGGTCCTTTATTTCAGACAAGGATGTGTTTGCTACGTCTTTGACACGGTCCACCTTATTGTCTGATTTCCATAGCGATGAGTACGTCATGGCGTTTGTTGCTCTGATTGGCTCTAGCTCTGTCCAGTTGCAGACACAGTTTTAAAGACAACCGTAGACTCCGCCGCATCACCGAGCTCTGTCTATCGGTTGTGGCCAGACTATATACATACATACATATATGGGTTGCCAGGCTAGTAACAATGTGTTTTCACATACAACTGAATAGAGATATGCTTTTTTTAAGGTGCAAACTAATTCCAACTCCCAAAAATCGGTTTGTTTTCTTGTTTCTGTACTTTGTTGGATACATATGTGTGGGTATTCATCAGTTTCCAGCAAATGAGTTGATTCGTGTAATCATCAGGAGTCCATTTAAGCTTAAAGGGTTTCATGTTTAGAGAATTACTGGAAAAATCAGTCATGCCAAGAGGCTAAAAGCTCGGCTAAACAAGGCTTAATGCGAGGTGTCTGCTTTCCCTCCTTTGTTAGTTTCAACACTGCCTCTCCGTCTTACCTGATTAGGTAACACTGTGCATACACACAACCCAAACACAATGTCCTCCCCTGTGTGTGTCTGTGGGAAGGCAGACTCGTTTGATACACATCACATTTCTGCTAGGACTGAGAGCGTTTCATCACAGATGCTTCTCATGCATGAGGTGTTGTAGTTGTGTTTCAGACCCCCTGAGACTGAGTGAGACCCCAGCAGAAGACTCGAGGGTTTTAGCTGATTAAGATGATCGTTTAAAAAGCCTCCAAAGCTCCTTTATCTCATTAAAGCCGACCTTTACACTAATTCTTGCGTGCGGGTGTGTCTGTGTGTTTGCAAGATGAAAAGACAGTTCAAGAAAGCAAGTCTCTAATTATCTTTACATCTTCCGAACTAATGCAAATCATGCCTCTGTGGTGGAGGCGGTGCAACCATCTCAGCCAAGCTCCAGAAAGTTCGTCTCTAACTAACTTTATTTATGTGACTCCACGTGAGCCGGCACTCACCCTTCTTCTTGAAGACAGACAGCAGAGAGTGGATGCTCTTCCTCATGTAGACAACCATGCCTACACCGGTGCCATAGCTGATGCCAAACCCAAATAAGGAACTAAATCGGAGCAGGCCCCTCACGCTCCGAGGCTGTAAATGTTCTTGGGATTCAGAGAAGATCCAGATGCCTTGACCTCTGAGGATAGCGGAAAGTAACTACAAGCCCCGCGGTGGTTTGACTTTGTTTAGCGACCGCAGATGCTGAGTGTCTGAGTGACTTCAGAGACAAGTGCACAATGAGATCAGCTCCCAGACCAAGCTGCCCATCCCAGCTGCCTTATCCGTAATTCTGCTCCCCCTCTCTGCTCTCCTCTGGACTGTTTTGCTCACATTGTTAAATGACGACACACCCTCCCCTTCCTCCTGCCTCTCGTCTTTCAAGCAAAACACCTGTCAAAGTTTGGTTTCAGTCAGCAACAACCCCCCACTTTCTACAATAAAGAGGGACACGCGTGGGGCTGGGCGCACGCCAGCCAGACAGTCCTGGGTTACGCCTCCTTCATCCTAATGAGTTTTGGGATCCATAAAGGAACAAGAATCTAAATCTGAACCTATCCCATAATAATTAATAACAGGTCTTCAGCAGTATGTGTCCGTCCAACGTGGCTATGGAGGTAAACCACTTCATCACATCTCCTCTTCTCTTTTCTTTCTGCCAATCCGTCACGTCTCTTGCTTTCTCTTCCTGTCTGTCCTCCCGTAGCCCCGTCGCCATCAGAGGTCTGGCTGGACTTACACATAGCTGCAGCTCATCATCGGGGCAGCAGTGGCTCAGGTGGTAGAGCGGGTTGCCTCATGATAGGAGGGTCATGGGTTCGATTCCAGCTCCCGCCAGGGGTATCCTGCTGTTGTGTCCTTGGGCAAGACACTTCACCCAACTTGCCTGTGTTAGTGGTGGTCAGAGGGGCCGACGGCGCCAAATGGCAGCCTCGCCTCTGTCAGACCTCCCCAGGGTGGCTGTGGCTACAAGTAGCTTACCATCACTGGCAGTGTGTGAATGTGAGAGTGTGTGAAATGCATCTTTGAGTGTCTAGAAAAGCGCTATATAAGTTCAATGCATTATTATCATCGGTAACAGTGCTGTCTGGGGCGAGTTTCTGTCTGCCTGCTAGCGTTTCCTGACAAGCTGCACAGAACGGGAAATACAAGTACAAAAGTAGCCTCTTTAAAATAGTGACGATTTTGTGCAAATAAACAATGTATTTGAGTTCAGGAGACATTTGGAGGAAAACTCCTATCCCATCACCTATTGAATGGATGTTTACTCCAATTGAAATGATCCAGCAGGGGGCTACAGCTGGCCTCCACAAGAGCCTCCTGGCACTGGGGCCTAGCTGGGCTTTGTTGAGGAAGTTTCCACTCCAGCTTTCAGGGTCAGCCTGGTGAACCTGAAGTGATGGTGTTGGTTCAGGCACCCGATGGTGTGAGGGAAGCTCAGGCACTCAGGAGAGCAGCTTTAGATCCAGGAGTCGTGCCAACCACAGGATTAACTCAGCCACGAGCTTAACCTGTCCATCTCTTCACCTCCTCCACACCTGACATCTGTTTTCCTCTCACCTCAGCGTCTTTGGTGTTGGTGCCAACTTTCTGTCTAATCCATATTCATTTCTGAAACTCGGTTTTCTACGAGCTGGATTATGAGCATGAGATAAGAGCTTTGTTTCACTGTGACGACGTGGCCCGTGTCTTCAAATAAACACCCCTTTACTTGTGCCAGTGTTGGTGGAGGTGGGGGTTCTGGCCTCACCACAGCATCCCAATATTAACATTCCTAAAAGGGCCTAATGAGACACCATCTGGTCCTGGAGGAAAGGGCAGAGGGCACTGGGGGGTGTTCCACAAGGCTTTCATTCAGCACAATTCCTCTGCATGAGCCGACTCAAACTCCATCACAAAGGAGGAATTTAAGTTTAGATTCAGAGTTGTGCATTATTTACGTCTCACATCCAGACTGAATAGCATCTTCTAGCCTGTCTAAGCTTTGAACTGCAGTTGTTTTCCAGCCTTGTTGGTGTGAGTGTGACAGTTTTAAATCTTCTGCAGCAGGCGGCTGGAGTTGTTAGCAGGTCAAACAGCCCATGGAAGAACAATCAGACGTCCTACAAACACTTAATTAAAGGTCAAATGTCAAAAGTCTTAGACACGTTCACAATAATGTGCAATTGTCCTCTGCTGATTTACATCTGCCCAGGTCTCCAACAAGCACATTTTTACTTTTAGTTTACTCTTCAACAAATATACAAATATATGCCATTTCCCAATTCTAAATGATCTAGATTAAATGGTAAATTATTCGTTCCTGGAAAAAGCCGTTCGCGCAAGCTACATAAAAAAAATAACTATTCATAGGCCCGACCCCTTTCTTCAGGCTCCGCCTTAGAGTCACACAATCGGATGGCGGCAGAAAATGGCAGAGGTGTGACCAAGTCGCTGCTTTTCAAGTCACAAGTAAGTCACAAGTCTTTCCAGTCAAGTCTTGAATTAAGTCCAAGTCAAAAACAACCAAGTCCAAGTCGAGTCCAAAGTCAATGATGTGGAAGTCCAAGTCAAGTCCAAGTCCTTAACGTTGAATTTTCAAGTCATAATCGAGTCACCTGTCCAACTTCAGTTTAATGACGATGATAATAAATAAATTCCAGAAATAAAGTTTCTTAAAGCTTCATTTATTTACTCAAACAAGCAGATATTGCAACTGAAACTGATGATAAACAAAGTGCTGCTGCATGTAGACGGAACAAGATCAAACCCAGAACCAAGAATGAGTCATGATTTTTATCCATGTCGTGCCACTTTTGTGCTAAAATATCAAATATGCTCAAGTCATCATCAAGTCAACAGATGCAAGTCGATTCAAGTCGCAAGTCATTGGCGTTCATGTCTGAGTCAAGTCGTAAGTCTTTATAGATTTGATCAAGTCAAGTCAGAAGTCATTAAAATAATGACTCGAGTCTGACACCTCTGGAAAATTTAATAACACTTGCTTGTGATCACACACACACACACACACACACACACACACACACACACACACACACACACACACACACACACACACACACACACATACACACACACACACTCGCTGAGCTGAGTGTCCTCAAGCTAGCATACATAGCATGAGGATTTTTATTGTGAATGCTGTTAGCTTTCTCAGTGTTACCAACAAAT